GAGTCCTGAGCACACCATTCGGAGTCCCGTTCTATCATCCCTTCGGTCTACAGAATTCTAAAGGAGATCTGTGTGGAGAAGCCACAAGAACCTGTTGGATCCGTGACCTGACAGAATTGGTAGTTCCCCTTAATAGGGGGACCTCAACATAGACTCCAAAATACTAGAATCCTCACTATTACAATTACGGACCCTTCAAAAGGGTACTTTAATTTCAGAAAACCCTTTTGAGCAGGGACTGAGGGCAATGCCTAAACTCTAACCCCTTTGTAGGCTCTATGTACTCCTATATTAACTTATTATAGGGACCCTTGAAAAGGTACCCCGATAAGACCCTATGCAGGCCCTATATACGCCTATATTAACACCCCTAAAACCACATATAGGCCCCATATACCCCTATATTAACTTAAAAAGGGACCTTGAAAAAGGTACCCCTAAGACCCTATATAGGCCGTATGCACCCCAAACTAACCTTATTATAGGGGCCCTAAAAAAGGTACCCCAAATTACGGGAGACCCCAGTTGATCAGTCAGAAGCTCTCTGGGTCGAAGGCAGATCTCGACTTTTCCACCGAGCTTCTCCTTCCAGAGATCCGTCGGGTTTCGCTGCCACATGAGCTATATAGTCTATTCTCCTAGTATCTCCCTTAATAAACCCCATCTCCGTCACACACTCAACAGTTGCAGGGCATCTCCTCAAACCTGCTTTTCTGATGTGTGCCTTATCCAAAGCTAGTGGGCCCTAGCTGGTCCCATGACGCCCTCTTGAAAGCTTGTTCAAATTACTTCCTCAAGACAGACCCAGACCCTGAGCGTACTCCCAGAAGCAGCGATGACTTCTACAGTATCCGTCAAATATGTACAGTCTGGCTTCCGGATGGCACATGCAAGACCGCGGCCAGAAAGGAGCATAAGCGGGGATTCTACAACACCTCTCCCATGATTGAATCTTACCCAAACTTTCCTGAGGTTTGACTTGGGGCTGGGGCTAGCTGGTGATAAGATCTGCCTTCTATCGTTGACGCGCGGAGCATAGCCCGCACTGGAGGTAGCGGAGATTGCCTGGCACAGCTTACCGCTTGAAGAACTTGAGTTCGTAGCTGTATGAGCGGATTCAGGGTCCAGCTGAGTCCCGATTGAATGGATAGACATACATACGTTTTGTAGAAAAACGTCAATGCCTGGGTTCACATTGGCTACTGTTTGGTAACTGCAGGCTGCGATGGCGCAGGACTAGTTATGAAGCGTTCTGCTTCTTAGGCTTCGGGATCCGCGATCCGTGTTCGTGTTTTGGGGCTTGGATTCTGATCGAATAGGCTTAAGCTACTGCCTGGGTGGGACGCGGAGTGGGGACTGATCCTGTGAGAGCCACTCTATGGTGCAAACAACATTGGGCTGGATGACAACCCCGGACTGCTTTGGTTGACAGGAAAAAGCCCCACTAGTTTCCGGCCGTAAAAAATACACGCTGATATCAGTCCCGTCAGAAATGGCTGTAAGGCAGGTCTCATGCGTAAATGAATAGGTGCCAGTTCCCTGGCACACTAAAGCTGTGCTCGCAGGCGCACAAATACCAGAGCTTGCCTCGCCTTGCCATGGTAAGGTGAAATCCTCAGATCCTATGATCCTAGCTCTTTCCCTCTTGTCTTTCCTACGGCACTCGGGTAAGGAACCCTGTGTAGGCCCCCTGTCCTCCTGTGGCTTGAGGCTGCCGAAAGTCTCTGAGGAGGATCGCTTGATGCCTTTGCTGGGCATATCTTGGCAAGTTTGGCCCTTTTCTTCGTGGTGGTATTGTGTGTCTTTTGGGAGGGTTTGTAGTGGGAAACTCCAACTCAGCACAGGGCGCAAGTTTAATGGTTGCAGCGGCCTTGGCATAGGAAATGAGCAAAGGCTAGCAGTGGACATGTTTTGCTTTGGCCAAGTACTTGCAGTGTGCCTTGCATTGATGGCAGTCGCATGCTGAAAAAGTTTCTATGGCGGCACCCATGCTCTGAACTCTTAACTGTAATAGTGCGACACCCTACTTGTATTAATACAGCTGGGGGCAGCGTGGTGTCTGCTCTCCTCTCAGGGAGTCAGCGCTGAAGCGCGTAACAGCCACCCAGGAAGAGTGGAAGGGTGGCTAGATAACTATATTCGCTACAGTACCTATACTGTTTTAGATATTCATAGCCGTATGTGGAGACACCTTGTATACTTAGATGTGTAAACGCTCAGTGGCCGAGCTTGGCAAGCAATGGAACCGGATTAATCATGGTTATCGTGGTCATGACAACTGCAGGAAAGTAACACTGCCGCTGGTACTTCCCTCTACTTCCTTGGTATGAATGGATCTTTACAGTCGTCCTCCTCCCCCTACCTCTACCCCTAATACTCCTATTGCTAACACCGCCCTTAACCCTAAACCCTAAACCTCAACCTTGAACTACAATTTCCCTCTATGCAGCTGGGGAGGCCGGAGGATGCGCCCTCGTCCAGGAATTCGAAGCCTTGCAGCGACCGAGAGTCCCGGACCTGCTTCATGGTCACCTCGGCTTCCAAGCTTGAAAAGTGCATCTGAGAGTTATATGAGCTATCGTCTAAACTCCTTAAAGGGGGATATATAGGGGGTTATATAGGGGACTACTATAGGGGATATTAAGGGGGATACTAGGAGTTTAGACAATGGCTCATATAGGGATTTGAGGGGTTCTAGGCCCATTCAAGCAGAAGCAAAGCAATGCTGGGACTGCACAGAGTTCCCTGTTGCAAGGGATGTTCAGACACCATGATAATTCTGGCGAGGCGCCTTTTCGGACAGCACCTCTGCAGGTTAGCATGTTTGCTCTGACTTTGCAGCATGCACATGTTTCTCTAACTGCGTCGGTTTCCAAACCTCCAAACTGACAGCCAGTCTACTTTTGGTAGTTCCATCGAGAAAGGAACCGCATTCCTGGGGCCTGGGAGAAGAGATACCGAGGTAGGCTGGTGAAGATAGCAGCTTACTGGCAGTCATCCCTTCCCACCAATCAAACTCAGCTGAACAATGCAACTTCCAACGAAAATTGTGAGTCAAGTCTACTCGGGGCCGCAAACAGCATGTTACTGTGGCTAAGGTACCAGGGCTGTAGGCCCCACGCCCTCTTTGGGCCCTAGGCTGTATACTCAGACGCTACACCCAAGCCAGAAGCTGCAGGACACCTGATCCAGAATTCTCGGCAGATCCTTAGTCAGACCGCTTAGGAGCCAGCAGCTTGAACAACTCCAATTTGTCAAGAGTTGTGCAGATTTTCCCACGCTGTTGACTTAGAGTTTTCTTGAACAGGATAATGTCATCCCTGACCAGCACCACAAGGGCAAGTCCCTGAAGTCCTGATGGCAGTACCCCACGATGTGTCATAATCCCAGCCATGTAATTAATTGGGATCCAAATATGCGGACCCCTATTTCAAACTCCGTGTCCACACTCAGGGGTCTACTTTCTTGGGCTTCAAGTTGGCTTCGAGGCAATGCACGCAAGTTACCGTAATCAGCAGGTCAGCCTCCCAATTCTCGGATCAAAGTGCAAGCCACCCCCCAGACGGAGTGGCAGCAGAAATTGCTCAGATGTGAGCCAAAAGCAAAGCCATATTTGAGGCTACAATCAGCCCAGCCACCCTCCCGGCCCTCCCCCATCCCTCACCTCTCACACATCACCGGTAGCCGCGTAGTCTCAACTCTGCGCCAGCGCAGGAACGATCAGCCACCACCACACAATTCAAGCAAGAGCCCTTCGCGCAGCTGATCCTGGCTAGAAAGGCACCACGTATGCCACAGGAGGGGCCAATTTGGGTCTCCGGAAAAGCAGGAGAACCTCCTTTCATGCTACCTATATTTCCTTGGCGCCTGCCTATCCAACTACACCTGTGAACAGCTTGGCGAATGTTCGAGGACTCCTGGATACCCCTACGAAATCCATGCTCAGTCTTCAAGACCCATCCCCTAGCATAGGGCTATCCATACATGTATCTTCGCAAAGAAATTTTCTGAAAGCTCCGCAGGTTTGATCTGATCCGCATGCAGACGGCAGTTGGGCCAAGACTCCTGTAGGGCGGCGCCAAGCTTTCCACTCAGCCCGCAGTCACCGACCTGCTGCTAGGTAGCTACAAAGTTCTTGCGGAAATCTAGTAGTAGCCATACTAGTAACTGTATAGGAAACTGGAGGACAGATACTAACTGGCCATAATCTGCGATTCCCCTACTGGAACCATGTCCCAGTTCATGCTCCATGCTTTTTTCCAATGGATTCTCCTGTGTTGGTCACATTGTTTCCTTAGTTGGGTAGCCTTTGCCAAGAGTGGGTGGCAGGGCCTTGCACGCTACACTTTCATCGGTGTCCCCGCACTAAGGTCCTACAGGCTCTGTAACTGGATTTGTCGGCCCAGCCACACAGGCTTCAACCTCGGACACAAAGGTCGAGATCTTGTCCTGCAAAATCCATAGCACATGCTGGGCAGGAACCTTCCGATGGTGCTAAGTACAGACTTTCTAAAAAGGCCTCCATGATTCCACAGCGCAATGCAATGCAGCAGGAAGAATAATTAGTCCATATGAGGGCAAATTGACAGAGAATTTGACAACTACCTCTCTTCCCACACCTAGGGCAGAATCATGTGCGCAGCAGGTGCTTTAAAACAAAAGCATTGCTTAGCAATTTCCCACCAGTCCTTTGAGTAGTGGCGCGTGCCGTAGTGCTCGCCTGACGTTCTAGGGGACTACCGGACGAATATCTGAGTTCTTGAAATGAGGACTGCAAGAGGGTAAGCTCCTTGGAAAGAATTCTAAACTTATCGGCATTTCCAAACTAGCGGAAAAAAGCGGCAGGGTACACAAAACTTCGCGTCCAGCGTGTATCAGCTTGCACCTGATATTGTCCCCCAAGAAACACCCAGTGAAGCTACAAAGCCAAGGCCGGGAGCGTGGCCGTAGGGAGCTATGAGATCCACATGATACTCGTGATTCATCGTGATTTGAAGCCCTCAAATAAGACGAAGCCATAGAAAGCCACGGCCTGTGGCCATGGAGAAAAGAGTCATGCCATAACCTCGGCAAGCTGCGCAGGGTTGAGGTTCTAGGGTGTGTTATGCAAATACGAAGAATATGATCATATAGGGAATACAAAATCATAATACTTGTAAATCAAAAAAAAAGCTTCTGACCTGTTGCCAGGCTGGGCTGAGGGGGGTATAGGTAACCTAACAATCTCCACAATTCTACGCAACGCGGAATCCAAGTAAACCCATGGCACCACTGAGATTATAATCCCTGCCCACTCCAAATTTCACAGGTTTCCACTTGTTTGGGGCAAGCAATGTGTACAGTGAAAGACAAAGGCAGCAACGGAAATTGTCAACCGCGTTCAAAAAGATGATTTCCTGCGAGGACTGAGGAAAAATGTCAACACGAAAAACCCCATACCCGCGACAGGAAGACTGCAAAAACAGCAACAATACAAGTAATTGGACTTAGTTAGATCTATGGCGTTAGATGGAAGACCTGAAAATGCCTGAAACTTTAGATAATAATTAGAGGCCCAAAAGTCTGAAGCCGGAAAGGCCTAAAGCCTAATCGCTACACCTGCGGGCGTGAAGTCTGAAGGCCAAACGTGCCACGTGATATATGGATACTATAAACTACATAGAGGTTTCCACACATGCCCCGAAGACAACTCTTCACATTAGGCTTGCCTGCCAGGAACGTGTAACATCACTGGATGTCTTCTTAGACTTCTGCGCCAAGCCCAGGTCCCCAAGCTTGGAGTTGATGTAGCCTGACTTCATGAGCTGTTTGTCTGCAGGGAATGGAACATGACATGGAAATCAAACTCAGATGGGAGTGTATGGTGATGAAAGGATTGGGGATTTGCTTGCTGGCTGTTGACATGGAGTGAAGGAAGGCGAAAGAAACATGGAAATTACTATTTGAGGGGGATTGTATAGGCCTCAATCTAGGCCCTGCTATGCTCTTCTTATCTATATGATTTACCCTCCTTCCAATAATTGTAGAAGCCTCAAACCAAGCCTGGCGGAATCCTGATTTCTGAGTTTCCCGGTCGAGAGGAAGCAAAGCTGAGCTCTGAACGCCCTTTGCTGTGCAAGAAGATGTTCTCTGGCCTGGGAGATGCTGTGATAACCAGCGCAATTAAGGTTTCAGTAGGGGTTAGGGTTCTTAAAGGGGGGTACAGGGATATACACATATATATATATACAGATATATATATATATGTTGTAGCAGTCTTGACTGGAATGTTAGCCATGCTGATCATGAGAACAATGACATGGTTGGGACAATCACTCGTCGGAACGCCCCTCCTGCTACTATGACGAGGAACCATGCCTGCAAAGCGGGGTGGATCGAACACACACTCAACGGAATGTTGTGTAGTCTGGATATACTTTTCCGCTTCTATCTCAAAACCAGCTAGGCACGCAGCTCTGCCCCAACAGCCTTGAACACATTGGCTAAGGTCGCGGCTTCATGTCATTGTGCGTGATGCCATTCTCGTGCATGTAGGCCAGCGCTCCCGCGACTTCTTGCAGGATAACAATCATCCTTGGGCATGCTTTGCCGCACAGCTTCTGCACTCAAAGATGTCAATGGAAGACTGCACTCGTGCGGCTCGCCATGTTCTTGTGATAGAAAGTCGCAGAAGCAGGACAACAGCAGCGGCAGATTTAAGAGAGCTGCCTAATGCCAAACATCACAACAGAAAGACAGATGATACCTTTTAGCTGCTGCTCTCCGCGCTTCCGCTGCTATTTCATAATCGCTTTGAGTGAAGTCTGTCATCACAACCACCAACAACGAAGCCGCCGCCGCCGCCCCTGCCCCTGCCACCACCGCTGCCGCCAGCAGCAGCAG